TTATCGGTAGACTGGTAATCAAGAGACACAGCTTATGTTCTGGGGACCCGGGTTCGAATCCTGCCATGGTAGTTGGTGGAATTTGAATTCAGTGAGTGTATCGGATTAGGGAGTCTAATGATGACTATGAAACCATTGTTGATTGTCAAAAAACCCCACCTGGTTCACCAATGTCCTTTAGGGAAGGAAGCTGCCATCCCCTTACCTGGTCCAGACCCACAGCAATGTTGTTGACACTTAACTGGGATTAGGGATGGGTAATATATGCTGGCCTGGCCAGCGACACCCACATCCTGTGAAGGAATTAAAAAAAAACTCATTCTACCTCTGCTGTTGTACTGTCCTAGCATAGCTGTCACTCTCACTATCGCTATTGCTTGCAACATGTTCCCTCACTCTCATCCAACCCATGGACGAACCTCCTCCCAAGGTATCTCATTCCCGTCTATGCCTTACCATATCCCCCACACGCAGCCCACATACCAATACATTTGCCCTCCTTCACACCCCCGTTCCCTCAGCTTGCAACTGCCTCAGGGCACTCTGGCAACTATAATTGCAATGCTGCTGCAAGGGCATTTTACAGTAGGGACAGGCACCCAGCTCACAGACTGCATCTCAGGCCTGTTCACTGACTGTCACAGCACTGAATTGGAGCTGACCTGGATACTCAGGGCATCCTTGACTTGCCCTTTTTACGCTTTGCCATCTGAGCCAGAGATATCCCATTCACGGTACTTCCATCTTGCCTTGCTGTTTGGCACAGGCACAATGCCAGGAGGCTTGTCCCATTTGTCAGCAGCTCTCAATCATGTCAAGGGTGGGGGTGGGGGTGGGGGGAGCGGGTCCCAGCACAGTTATTCTGTGGCAGCTTCGATTCCAGTCCAGGGGCTTGGACACTATCACCTCAGCTGCTTTGTGTAGTCAGGATTAGGATTCTCTCCTTGTAAAGACAGAGGAGCCAAATGTTGGACAACCCATCTGCCATCTTGCCTCTCCCTGCCCCATTGAGGAAATGTGGGCAGATCATGTGAATGGGCTGAAGGGGGAGGTGCAAATCCTGTGGAGTTTACAGGAAAACCCATAAGGAGAAGGGGATTTTGATGGTTGGGGCCCCACCCACTTATCCCCTGTGGAGGCCACTGTCTGATGAGCGCTCGCTGTTGCCTTCCATTGTGTTGGAATTTGAAAGGACACAATGAGGAGGAAAATGGCTGCTGGGGTAAATGTCTCAATTTATGAGAGGGAGGGGGCTGCCAGATCCACCGATCTTAGTCCCATTTAAAGGGAATCAACATCACACATGACCCCCATGCATGGTACCGGATACAAAGCTGCAGGATTCCAAATCCCTGGCCATCCTACTGCATTGCCCAGTGTTTGCTGTGCACCCTCACACCATCACTGACTATCTCACACCCATCCCCCCTGCCCTCTGGCTCAGACTGGTACCTCAACAGGAGCTCGCGTTTCGAAGATTTGGGAACACAGTCTGGGTGCCAGGGCAGTATTTTTTTCTTTTAACCATGATGTGGGCGCAAGGGATGCTGGTCTTTTGGCAGGTTTCTCGTGCGTGGTGAGCTCTGCGCAGAATCGGACAAGAGGGGCTCAGCAGGGATTGGGTAGTTAGGTTAGTGAGGAGCATTTGGTAAAATACGACGAGAAATTCCCCAGAGTGGAAAACCCTCCAAAAAACAAGTTGCATTTTGCCAAAAAAAGGTAAGATTCAGTCTTCAGTGTCTTCCCTGTCAGCCACCTGCAGATATGTCCTTTCTACAGACTATTTGACAGAATTCTAAACTCACCGTTGGTCAACATCAGCGCTGGATGTCTGGATGCAGATCTCTGGCAGATAGTGACTCATTGCTGATGGTTTATGTCCACTTTAGCTTAGCCAAATTTAGTTGCCATGGTGATAAGCGAAGCAATGTGTGTACTCTGAGTATTAATTTGTTTCATTTCACACAGTTTTTCTTCTTTTCCTGCCAAACACGGTGAGAGGGAGAGGTGGTCACGGCCTGGAATTTTATCAGCGAGCGCTTAGTAAGATAATATGTATTTGGCTCAGAGTTGCCTGATTCAGGTCTTAAGGAGTGCTTTTCCAAAGACAGACAGACAAGAAATGGTTTCAAGTGGTGCTAAGAGGTGAACAGGGCGACTTGAGTTCGCAGATTATCAGCAAGGCAGTTATTTGTTCTCTCTCCTCTGATGAAGGTGTATGTGCTGGGATATGGGTTATCCTACACTACCTCATCCCAGTAGTCATTCTTCGTGCGTGAACACAGACATTGAATGTTGGCAGCCTCACAGCCAAGTGTACTTGTGAACAGAGGAAAGGAAGAGTTTGCAATGCAAGTTGTGTGAGAGGCAGCAGCGAGAACAGGAGGTAGAAGGGGGTGCTGAAAAGGTGCCAACAGGTATCAGGCAATGTGGGCTGACAAGTGTCATGATCCCAGCAGTGCTCATTTTGAGAATATAAGAGCAGGAATGTACTGCTAACGCTATATAAGGTTCTGGTCAGATCACATTTGGAATATTGTGAGCAGCTTTGGGCCCCATATCCAAGGAAGGATGTGGTGGTTTTGTGGGGGTTCAGAGGAGGTTTACAAAAATGATCCCATGGATGAAGGGCTCGGATTATGAGGAGCAGTTGAGGATGCTGGGTCTGTACTCAATAGAATGTAGAAGGATGAGCGGGGATCTTACGGAATACTGAACGGCCTGGAAAGAGTGGATATGAAGAAGATGTTTCCACTAGTAGGAGAAACGAGGACTGGAAGGCACAGCCTCCAAATAAGGGGATGAGATAAGGAGGGAACTGAGATAAGGAGGAATTTCTCCTGCCATAGGGTGATGAATCTGTGAAACCCATTACCACAGATGGCTTTGGAGGCCCAGTCATTAGTGTATTTAAGAGAGGGACAGGTAGGTTCTTGATTAATAAGGTGGTCAAGCCTTACAGGGAGAAGGCAAGGCAATAGGCTTGAGAAACATATCAGCCAATGGGTGAAAACTTGACAGGCCAAATGGCTTAATTCTGCTCCTATATCTAATGGTCTTATAATGATATTACTGGATAAATAAGATCCCAGATAGAAATCTGGCTTGATATATTATATTTTGATTTTGTTTTTTTGTTTTAATGAGATGTTTTTTCCCTGAAACATAAACACACAATACTACAAATTCAGTTCTAACAATAAAACGGAAGTTTATTATGCAAAAGAAATGAAGATAGAAAAGAACAACGCACATTTCAAGATTTCAAAACTCACAGTAAATACAATCACATTAATCCCAAAAACACTCCTTTCAGTGCTCACATGAAATAATTTCTTTATCTTGCATATTGGTAGGACTTAATTTAACCATGCTTTTCCTCATCTTGAGAAACTGATATCTCTTCCTGGAACCTTCATACAACTGAGCATGGACGTTTTCAGCTTCAAATAACTCCTGGAGTGTTTTCACCAAAGACATCTGGTCTGGAACTTTTAAGCTGAATGCCTTGCACTAAAGTGACTTTATTCTAAATAGTCCTACGCCACCTCTCTTTCTTACGAATAACTGTTTTACACTTTCAAATTTAGCCAAGTATCTTTTTTTCTGCGGTTAGAAGCTGCATTGGGAAGGAGGGTCAGAAGCAAGGTCAGGTGAGTGGCTCTCAGTGGTCTCCATCATGCCTTACGCCCAATCCTTTGATTGTGCTCACATTGATGCAGATTCATGCCCCTGCCCAATCCACCCTTCATTACAACTTCCCGTATTGGTTTACCAGTCAGGTGGGTCCATCCTTTCTTTATTCTCCTTGGAACAAGGGTAATTGTAATCCCCCCAGCGGGGTGTTTATTCCCGTAAATGATTTTTGACCATTTATCGGGTGGGAAAACTGAAGCTCTACTTCCTAATTCTGGGGTAGAAATGGGAACCCACCAGGGTCCTGGGACCTTCTCATCTCTAAAGCCAGAAGGTTCCACCCTTAGTATATGATTTTGGCACCTACTGGGATATTTTTCCACCTCTCTTTGATGCCATTTTCTCAAATAAACAGAATTTGTATGGTGCAAAAGGAGGCTGTTTAGCCCATCACCAGCTCTCTGAACAGACACGATGACTTGATACCATCTTCCTGCTTTTTCCTGATAACCCTGAATACTGTCTCTATTTGTATAATCGTTCCATGCCCTCTGGAATGCTTCAAATGAACTTGCCTCCACCACACTTCCAAGCAGTGCACTCCTGACCCTAACTACGCACTGCGTGAATATTCGCTTTATTGAAAAATATGGCTGTGCTCTCTTATTCTTGATCCTTTCATGAGAGGGAACAATTTCACCCTATCTGCTCTGTCCAGTGCTCTCATGTTTTTGAAAACTTCTATCAAATCTCCTCACCAAGAAACATAATCCCAACACCTCAATCCATTTTCGTAATTGAGATTGTTCTATTGTGTGCCACTGTATGAAATGGCTTTCGCATTCCCATCAACAAATTACCCTAAATGACTCTCTCTGTTACCTCTTCAAAACAAATACTCCAGCATGTTAGTTAAACAAGTTTTTCCCTGAAGAATTCGGTGCTGGCTCTTTCTAATTAGCCCACGTTTTCGATGTGGCTGTAAATTGTAACAAGACATTTCTCCAGCACTGAAGTTCAATCAACTGTTCTGCAATTGCTTAGCTTGTGATTAAACTTGTTTTGAACACTGGTGTTACAATTATGTAGCGCAGAACCCACACTCCACCCTTTCAAATAACACCGGGTAATGGAGGGATGTGAGCATGCAGTTCATATGTTCAGTAAATCTCTTTAGTTACAGCTAAAGAAACCTAATTTAGTCAGGCCATCAGGCTGGTATAAGGAGTGTCTGCCTGTCCATTCACTACTCTCCTTCTTTCCCTGTGCGCTTGCAACCTTGTATTTGAATGTTTGAATGGCTTGAATTGCCAATGGATTCCAGCTCAATTATTGCCTTGTGCCTGTCACTTTTGTTTTCTCAGATATCGACGAGTGCCTGTCCAACCCATGCTCTCATCATTGTGTTAACACTGCGGGAAGCTTTTACTGCCCGTGCCCTGAAGGGTTTCACTTAAACGTGAATGACACCTGCACAGGTAAGCAGAAAGACAGTGACGGGAGAGAGAATGCGGACAACATTACACTAAACTCCAAATGGAATATGGTCAGGAGTTAAGGCAACATTGTAAGCAGTGATAACAAATTGGACCATTTTGCTTCAGAACCCTGAAATGCAGTTGTGTTGCAATTTCACCTCCTCCAAGTATTACAAAGAACAAAGAAAATTACAGCACAGGAACAGGCCCTTTGGCCCTCCAAGCCTGCGCCGATCCAGATCCTCTATCTAAACCTGTCGCCTATTTTCCAAGGATCTGTATCCCTCTGCTCCCTACCCATTCATGTCTAGATACATCTTAAATGACACTATCATGCCCGCCTCTACCACCTCCGCTGGCAACGCGTTCCAGGCACCCACCACCCTCTGCGTAAAGAACTTTCCACACATATCTCCCTTAAACTTTTCTCCTGTCACCTTGAAATCGTGACCCCTAGTAATTGAGACCCCACGTAATTGAGACCCCACTCTGGGAAAAAGCTTTTTGCTATCCACCCTGTCTATACCTCTCATGATTTTGTAGACCTCAATCAGGTCCCCCCTCAACCTCCATCTTTCTAACGTAAATAATCCTAATCTACTCAACCTCTCTTCATAGCTAGCACCCTCCATACCAGGCAACATCCTGGTGAACCTCCTCTGCACCCTCTCCAAAGCATCCACATCCTTTTGGTAACGTGGCGACCAGAACTGTACGCAGTATTCCAAATGTGGTCGAACCAAAGTCCTATACGACTGCAACATGACCTGCCAACTCTTGTACTCAATGCCCCGTCCGATGAATGAAAGCATGCCGTATGCCTTCTTGACCACTCTATTGACCTGCGTTGCCACCTTCAGGGTACAATGGACCTGAACACCCAGATCTCTCTGTGCATCAATTTTCCCCAGGGCTTTTCCATTTACCGTATATTTCACTCTTGAATTGGATCTTCCGAAATGCATCACCTCGCATTTGCCTGGATTGAACTCCATCTGCCATTTCTCCGCCCAACTCTCTGATCTATCTATATTCTGCTGCATTCTCCGACAGTCCCCTTCACTATCTGCTACTCCACCAATCTTAGTGCCATCTGCAAACTTGCTAATCAGACAATCCATACCTTCCTCCAGATCATTTATGTATATCACAAGCAACAGCGGTCCCAACACAGATTCCTGTGGAACACCAGTGGTCATAGTTCTCCATTTTGAGAAACTCCCTTCCACTACAACTCTCTGTCTCCTGTTGCCCAGCCAGTTCTCTGTCCATCTAGCTAATACACCCTGGACCCCATGTGACTTCACTTTCTCCATCAGCCTACCACGAGGAACCTTATCAAATGCCTTACTGAAGTCCATGTATATGACATCCACAGCCCTTCCCTCATCTATCAACTTTGTCACTTCCTCAAAGAATTCTATCAAGTTTTTTTGTTTTTTTATTCTTTATATGGATACATTTAAAAATACACCTACACCTATTTCTCTATCCATATCTTCTCTTACAGAGATATAGTTCCTCAAGGAATGAAGGGTCAACCATTCCCTATTGTTTTGATGCAATGACCATTCTTCAGACTGTACCCATGACAGACAATGCTCCTTCAGAGCTGTGCCACTTCAGTGTGTGTATTTTCATAATCTATTCTCTCATGTTGACAGCTAAGGGTAGTTCCTGTAGCCAGCTTGAATCTGCTTTCATCTAAAATCCAATTTTGCAAAGCTAACACATGCCTGTCATTAGCCCAAACCCCTGATTTTAATGTAAACTTCATTAAAAGCCATCTGGAGTGCCTGGTACATTTTAAATGCTTCTAGAAGGTAAGAATCATTGCCACATCAATGCATAAAACAATTAACAAGATTTATTTACAAGTTAACCAGACAGAAATTATATGATACACCATGGCGACAAACTGCTAAAAGTGTAGGCAGATTTTTAACCCCTAAAAAAGACTGGTGGGTTTGTAATGGGCAGAGGATAAAATGTGAAAAAGCACCGCCAAGCCACCTACTTCCAGTTTTAGCTGGAGATGGGGAAGGCCATTAGCCAACCTGCTCACAGGAGTTAGCTTGACAATTTTCATATTATTTATGTGCCTTTTAAAATTGATTTCTGGATCTTCGGGTTTTCTCCCAAGGCTTGGCAGAGAGGTAAGGACTGCACAATCTAAGAGGTAACAGCCAAAAAAGCCGAGATCAGATGCTGTATATCTCCCCTTCCAATCCCCTCCTGGCCTACCGATTCCTTCCGCCAAGGTAGCCTGTTGACTTCTGCTACCCCAGGATTGGCCTGCATGTATCAAAAGCATCCTCTCTCTCAACAGTCTAAATGCTCCCACCTCTCAACAACAGCCCCTCGTCAGTCCCCCACCCCAGGCTCATACCACTCCTGGGATCAGAATCACTGCTGCAGCTCCCACTTTGGGCATGGCTCCCTACCCTGATTGAGGCTCAGACTACCTGTCAAATGTCATAATGTTTTGAGGGATGTCCTGCCTGTTTTAGCCACCAGTTTCTGGTTACAACAACTGATTGGAAAATGCTTGTTGTGATTGCAGAGGTTTCTGAATTTGTAAGGGACTTTTGGTCACAGACATTTTCATGTGGATCCTCCAGCCATTTATTTATTGATTATTTGATGGGATGTGGGTCAGCACTTGTACCCATCACTCATTAGCCTTGAGGTGAATGACGTACCAGGCCAGTCCAGAGAACATAGAATCATATAATCGCTACAGTATGGAAACAGGCCGTTGGGCCCAACAAGTTCACACCACCCCTCTGAAGAGCATCCCACCCTGACCCATTCCCTTACCCCTGCATTTCCCCATGTCTAACCCACCTAACCTAAACATTCCTGGACACTATGGGCAATTTAGCATGGGCAATCCACCTAACCTTCACGTCTTTGGACTGTGGGAGGAAACCAGAGCACACAGACACAGCGAGAATGTGCAAACTCCACACAGACAGTCATCTGAGGGTGGAATCGAGTCCCTGGTGTTGTGAGGCAGCAGTGCTAACCACTGAGCCACCGTGCCGCCCCCAAAAGGAAATCTGGCATTCCCTGACCGGGAAGCGAAACCGGGCCACGGTGGTGAGAGCACCGAATCCTAACCACTAGACTAACCAGGGAAGCTTAGATAGTCCAATAGTTAGACCTTCCAAAATCCTAACCACTAACCAGGGAAGGCGAGTTGAGAGTCAACCGTTGCTGTGGATTTGGAGAGTCACATGTAAGCCTAGGCTGGGTATGACAGCAGATTTCCTTTCCAGTAGCGAATTGGCTCTTGAATTCCAGATTTCTTCCTCAATTTGTTGAATTCCAGCAGCTGCTGTGTGGTGAGATTTGAGCCCATTTCCCCACAGCAATAACTTGGGCCTTTGGACTATACATTCAGTCAAATTATCACTATGCCACCAGCTCCGCTGTTGTCCACAGGGAAGTGAAACAGCAAGTGGATGAAGGAGCAAACAGAAACAAAACGATAGGGAAAGCAAACTGGAGGAGGTGATTCACAACTGAGCTTATCGGCACAAAACAATGCTTTACAATTCATTGCTGACATAGAATTAGTTGCCTCCATAAAATCCCTACAGTGTGGAAACAGGCCATTTGGCCCAACAAGTCCACACTAACCCTTTGAAGAACATTCCACCCAGATACTTCCCCCTACCCAATCCCTGCATTTCCTATGGCTAACACGCCTAACTTGTACAATCCATGGACACTATGGTGCAACTTAGCATGGCAAATCCACCTAAACTGCCCATCTTTGGACTGTGGCAGGAAACCAGTGCACCCGGACGAAACACACACAGACAGTCGCCTGAGGGTGGAATTGAACCTGGGTCCCTGGCGCTGTGAGGCATCAGTGCTGACCACTGAGCCACCCTGCCACCCTGCCACCCTCCTGTAACAGGACTTCCAATCAGCCAGCACACCTCATTGCCCATTGCAGCTAAATCACTGGGAAGTTCAGCATTTTTCCTCCGATGTAAATTGAGAAGAGCAGGTTAGTGAATGAAATGATACATTAGAGATACATCTGCTACCTTCAGCTGTTTACAGGCTGACACAGGAGATACCAGTAACATCAGGCGTACATCACACAGGTGTCTCGTGCATTGTCTTCTCAATCCAACACTTTCATTACTTTCCCCATCACTGGTTGTAGACATCAGGGTAGGACCTTTCCCAAATTCTAGCCATCTTTATACTACCGTTGCCTTGCTGACTCCTTCACACCAATTCCCATCTATCATTTCCAAGGACTGCAGTCCATTCATGCACGGCAGATGTCTGACCACCAGACATATATCATAAAAGGCACACTCCTGCTTTTTTTTTTCCCTTGTGATCTCCGACTGCACTTTCATTTTATGCCAGTCCTTCACACTTCCCACCCTGCGTGATCTCCCTACAGGATTAGAGGTTGGGAAGTGGCATGTGATTTTCCAGAACAGAGGAAGTACAATGAGACAAGACACTAACCTCACTGAAGCAGGACACAAAAGTAGTTGAATTAAGTGATTCTGTGCCAGTCTTGTCTCGGAAATTCCTGTGAAGCGTCAAGTTGCAGAAAGAGAGGGGCAGGTGACAGTCTTACATGAAGTGTTTGGAACTATTTTCTTGGTGCCCATTGGATAGCCAAGCTCCTTAATAGGGCAGTGCAAGTACTGAGTAGAGTGTCTCTTAGCTGTTGGCATCCTTGTAGAAGGTGGCATGACTTCACAACAAGCTGCCTGATACCTGGCGTGGACACACACACACACACACACACACACACACACACACACACACACACAATATATGTTACAAATATATCAGTGCCATGTACTCACTGTCACATTTTGCACCGCTGCCTGTAAATATCAGTGGAGGAGAGAAACTTTCTCTCAATTGCTCTTTTCCCTTTGTTTATGCATCTTCCTCAGGAAGGGAAAACATAGCTTCAGCAGACTGCGCAGGGTCTGCAGAGGAAGCAGACTCCACAAGCCTGTGCTTTTATAGTTTTTATTTCGCCATTCTTTCGCCCAGATGCTTCAACCATCTGCTTTGTCCTTGTTGCAACCCAGAACTTTCTGGAGTTGTAACAATTGATTTTCACTTTGAATGAAAAGGGTCACGCTCTGCAGATTTATTCTCACCAAGCTATAACGCTATTTTCCAGAAAACGTGCCCGATTCAGCTCCTGTCATGGAATCTCTGAAGCAGCCTGTACCAGCTGCGATCTTCGCCACGCCCTGGAAGCCACCAACATCCTGTTGGCACAATGGGACCTTACACCAGGACGGTGCGACTTGGATGGTGTCTGAGTGTGTGGAGTGTAGTTGCCAGGTGAGGAGCTGCAGGCATTATTCATTGTGCCCTCCAGCGCTCTGCTACTCCCACCTTTCCTTTTCAAGTTCACCTGTTTCCCTAAAATAATCATCGAGGATCTTCTTTAAATTAAATGTAAGCCAAGTCTTTGTACAAGATATTTCAATAACACACGTAATTATTAATAGGTAAATGAAGATCTCCAAACAGGCTTGTCCCCAGCTGAGTCACCATGCTTCTCACTAGTGTCATGTCAACATTTATCCCTCAGCCAACCAAACTAAACCAGATTATCTGGTTAGTATCACAATGTAGTGCATGGGAACTTCCTGTGTTCGCTAAGACTAATGCGATTTCTACTAACTATGACTACACTTTAAAGGAATGTAAACGGCTGTAAATGATTTGGAATAATCTGAGGTAATGGAAGGCACTATGCTTGTTTGCATTTTTTCCATTTTCCCTTATTTTTCTCTTCCCTTTGTTCTCTCTTTATTCTATCTGGTAGTAGATCACAATGGAACTGATTTTTGTTTTTTTTGTTTCTCTTTCTGTTTGTATCTGTCAGCTGGGAAAAGTCTCATGTACCACATGCCCCACACTGCCTTGTCACAAGGTAGAGCTGGTGCCAGGGCTTTGCTGCCCAGCTTGCAAGTGTAAGTATGTTCCTGCAGCCTAAGGTAAGGGGCCAAATTAATGCCACAAATGTAAAGAATTCTTCAGCAATTGCTCTCCTTTTACTACTTCTCCTAAAAGAATTGAATCTGATTGGAGTGCTACTCTATGAGCTCGAAATGCCCCCTTGATATATTGCTTGACAGGCAGTTATTTCATGTAGGGGACATCGCGATCTTCCAATCTGACGCCAGGAGTACAGAGAGCAGAGGGTTTAAGTTATTGGATGAAAGGTCAAGATGACTCCTTTACAGGAATCTCATTAGATTTTCCAATATCTTCTGTGCACAGCACATCTGAGTGCAAACCAGGAACATCTCTCCTTAGATGTACTTTGCAACAGAGCTCACAGATCAGCAGTCATCCCTCACAAGCTTGGAGATGCTGAGACAAATTGTAGCAGGTGCACTGCTGCCATGCCTGAATAAGGTTTAGAGGAGGAATCTGGGGCTGGGAAATTAGAAATCATGGAATCGACATAAAGCATCACCCACGTAAGTGGGAAGAGACTGGATTGGGTACAAAATATACAGTCAAGATAGGATGGGAGATGTTCAGTAGGGCAGGAGCAGCCTGAAATGATGTGTTTGCCCGGGCAGTCCTGTACGTAAATTTTAGGAGGAATGTGGAAGGGGCTGTGCAGGGTTGTGGGTCTTCAAGTTGAGGGGGGTTCTCCAGAGGACACGAGATCTGTGAGAGATCAGGAAACAATGGCTTGATGGTCAGTGGCGGGGTCAGAGTTTGTGGAGATAGCAAGAAGTGTCTAAGAGTTGGTGCTCAGCCTCTGCAAGTTGGAGGTTGGGACTCTGGACTGCATCACCATTGTCAACAGGTTTGATAGCAAAATCAGGGTTAGACTTGGGACAACAGAGTGCAGCAAGTTCAGGAGGAAACGGGTTAAAGTGTGATTGTGTGTGTGTGTGTGTGATTGTGTGTGTGTGTGTGTGTGTGTGTGTGTGTGTGTGTGT